TCGCTTCAGCCGCCCATTGCGCCTGCGCCACGTGGCTCCGCCCTCCCCTGCTCCCCTTTTTCCCCAAGGCTGGTGACGGAGGGAGGAAAAAAAAAGCGTTCCGGGGCTTAAGATGGCCGCCGGCCCGGGTCACGCGACAGGGAGGAGCGAGAGGAGGGCTCCTAAGATGGCGGAAGGGTTGGAGGCGGAAGTGCAGCCCGGACCGGCTTCCGGAGGACTGCGGAAAGAGGGAAGCGGGTTGGTGCGCCGGCCAAGAGGCGGGACTTCTGCACTTCGCGTGAGAAAAGGAGGGGGGCTGATTGGCAGGTCCTTCTCGCACCCACCCCCTCGCTGCCACTTCCGCCTCTTGGCGCGCACGCGCGGCCCCTCCTAGGAGCCAGCCACGGGAGGGGGGGAAGGCGTGTTCTATGTCTTCTGCTTGTTTTGTTCACGGAATTGTCTGTATACTGTTGTGGCTGTTGCTTCTTCTCTTTCTGATATGTCTCTACCCGGGTTCACTTTCGGGAATGACATTTATTTCGCAACCCTTTTCCGCTGCCACCAGAGGAATTTTTCCTCCCTGTATCAAATATTGCTCTTAAATCACAGTTCTCCAATATTTTATTTATTTATTTATTTATTCCCCGATACAACAATGTTTATTTAAGTGTTTATTTCAGTAAATCATGTAAAGTGAATCATAGATGGTCTTCTTTTATTAATTCAATAAACTGTGCTTTTATAACATTTATATTTGCTTATTTATAATCACGTTAATCAAGGTATTTATTCATTTCTTATTTTGTTCTCTATCTCTCTATTCTTCTCTAACACAAGACTGGTCCTGACTGCCTAAACTTCTTTTCTCCAACTCCTATCCCTAACTCATACATAACTTTTTTCTTTCGTTCTTTTGCTGTTCGCATGTATTATGTCACGGGGAGCGGAGGGGCAGAGAGGGCGGCCGGCGGGTTGCAATCGAGAAAGGGAGGAAGAGCTGGGAATCCCAGAATCGTAACGTGGGAAGGGGTCTCGGAGGTCATTTAGTCTGTCTGTTTCTCCCCCTCCGCGTGCTTATGCAGAAAAGTGAAGGTTAAAAGAAGGGTCGCGGAGGGGCTGCTGACGGAACGCTTCTAAGCCGCCGGTCTTTTAAAGGTCTCTTCACACATGACGCAACAGGAGAAACCCAAAGAATGCTCGCATGCATTGGGCTGGATGTTGGACTGCAACTCCCAGCCTAGGCTGTAATAGGTCGGGCTCATGGAAGTTGTAGTCCAGTTGCTGGAGGGTGGTAGGTTCTCCAGTTTCTAAGATAAAGAGGCTCAGGTGGGATAGAAGTCCTGTGGTCGGGGTTGTCCGGACACATCTGTAGCCTACACAAAGTGGGATGAGATGACAGAAGGGATCATAGGTCCCCTTAGCTGGAGAAAGTCGGCTGATCAGTGAAACCAACAAATAATACTGCTCCAGTAGAAAATATGTAGGGTTAACTCAAAAAAGTTGCAGGTGATGCCCTCCAAATTCTCTAAACCCTCCTCCTCCCCTCTCTGTACATTTTGACAGAATAAAGTATATATATTTATTTACATAGGGTGTAGTGGATCAAGTGACAGATTAGAACTCTGGAGGCCTGAGTTCAAAACCCTACTAAGAAATGGGGATTTGGAACTGGTAAAACCTCTCCTTAAATAGCTCATCTACCTTGGAAGCTCTATTAGGGTTGAAATAAGTCAGTTCCCACTTGACAGCCCATAACATAACATATGCATATTCTGTTTTTCCTTCTGTAAATTCAAGATAGAAAATGCAGCAACCTTGTGAGGCAGGTTATTATGGTGTGGGAGAATAGGGACTCACGATGACCCTAAATAAAGTTTTCAAGGTACCTGAAATGTTTTTAGGTGTAGTTTTAACCAGTGTGACTCAGCAGTTAATTTCCTTGGTGAAGATGGATTCAAACACAGATCTCATAAGAACCTAGGAGCCCTGCTGGATTATGTAAGGGTCCAGCTTCCTATATCTCACGGTGGCCACACCAGATGCCTCTGGGAGCACAAGAGAAAGGTAGGGAATTGAACTCTCAGCCTCTGGCTATACCTAACCCACTGAGCTATCAAGCCAGCTACAAACTGTATCCCTCATATCTTAACTTCAAGACATTGTGGGCTACAGATGGATTGGTTTTAGGGAAGCAATAGAACATGAATGATTGGGGCCAAGGTCCTATAAGAATGATGAGTTGCAAAGGGGAAACAGTTTTGTTTACGAGGCACATGGCTTTACTCTGGAAGTTTGGTGTATCCATACAAACAACATTGTCAATTTTTCACAATTGCTTTTCCAGTTTTGTTTAGAACAACTGGTCTGATAAAATAGTGGTTATTTTGTTTGAACCAGACACTCTGAAAGTTTGAAATGGAGTAGATTTCTAATTGTGGAAAAAAAGAGTGCCTGCACCAGCTTATATTTATAGTTTGCTGCAAAGGCCTATACATGTAGATTTATTATGGTTACTTTTTGGTCTCGAGGAAATGGTGGTGGGACTTTGTAATTAAAAAGGGAAAAGAAAAAGAAAACATTTTGAAATCAGGAGGATGAAGGATGTTGCTGTCAGCAGATTTCCTGCTTGGAACTGGAGATGGCGAAACTTAGCTTCAAGTTGGTTTGTCAGCACTTTTAGGAGGTCACAAACCAGGAGGAAAAATAAAGCGCATGGCTCTGGCTTCTGCTGGCCGAGGCCTCTCTAGAGGCTGCAAAAAACAAGGTCAAAATTGACTTATTATGGTTATGACTTTTAAAAAAATACTTCAACACAGCTAAGCTAGAGGTCACATAGGTCTTGGGGATGGATCTTGGAAAAGTTACTTTTTCTGAAGACCACTCCCAGCACCTAACAGCCAGCATGGAATCAAAGGGTAGCTTTTCTAGTTTGCCATCAGGGTGATGTGATGAGAAGCCTTGGGTGTTTTTATGGGGATGCTCCAGATGGCGAAGTACCATCTGCCTAGTGGGCTTTGCCTCCTCAGGTCCTGTCCTAGGTCTGTCAACCAAGAGAAGTTATTGGACTCTCCGAGATGGGGAAGAGTACAGGAGGAAGCTTTTAGTTCCCATCGAGCCTTGCTTGAGACTCAAAGTCTTCTGAAGGTTTGGCGTATCCCAATTCTACCCCCTTGTTGCCCTTCAATTCTGGCTTCTGGGGCCCGCAGCCAGTGAATCTGCTGAAATGGGGGGGAGATATATATTTTCTGGAAATTAACAGGAGACCAAATAGAACACAGTGAGATTCACATATGCTTGCATAGGATCAGATTGTAAGAATGATCCTATAATTTCTTTTACTATTGCTGATCCATTTTACACACAACTTAAATTCAGCTGTAGCTACTCCTGTGTCTGGTGGGCTGGATTTGTGTCCCTTCCCTAGCAGATAATTGTTTGACTGGGCTTTGTGCCTGAACTGATGACCCAACAGAAATAAAGGGAGAACACTGCTCCATTAAAGGAATGGGAGGCATAGAGGGAATGCGACACTGCATTAGATTGCCAAAAGATTAAAAAACCAGGTCACAGGGTTATGGTGCCAACATCTCCCTCTGGCTTTGCTTTACTGCTTTTTAAGGGCACTTGACTGTGTTTTGAAAAGTCCCAATGGGAATAATCCACTCACTGCACTTTGCTGGATTCCTCATCAAGCACTACGGGATATGGCTAAATGGAATTTTATGCATTTGGGAAGAAGCCAATAGCTATAAGGGGGGAAAAAATCAGCAACACAGCAAAACCACACCAATCTGCCTTGTTTCGTAATTAACATTTATCATGAAGAAGAGAGAACTGAAGCATCGGAATAATCAGTCCTTCTGGCATCGTGGCAGCTGAAAATCCCTTTGAGCAGCAAGTTAATCATGGCATCTCTCCCCTTCCCCAGAAGCAGTTTAAATTCTCTCCTACACGACAGCAAATCAAAATGAATCTTTATGATGCTAAAACAGAATGTGTGAATGGAGAAGGAGATAAGTTAGCCTGCTCTCCGAGGATCTCATTCCCACTTCGTGGAGAATCTGTTTTAAATTCTGTGGTCCACCAGATGCTGCTTAGAGGCTCCTAAACAGGCTGGCAAAAAGGACAAGAGCCTTTTCTTGGCCTATCCAGTGGGTGGGAAATGTGGAGCCCGTTGGAGCCTCCTGGAGATGTCAGTTTCTCCAGTGGAGTTCATAGCAGAGTGGGAACTTAGTACCTGAGATTCACTGCCCTGTTGGTTCAGGGTTAGGCCCCATGAGATCTGGGACACGCAAGGAGAGGATGGAGGAAAGTCAGGGTCCAAACGATGGTTGTCTGGCTTCAGCGTTGAGGCCATCTCTCGTATGTCTCCCCCCTGCCTGAGAAAACAGTGGCTGCTGGTGGTACATGCACTGGGGACATGTGGTTTTATGTTCTTCTTCCAGCCCTCTAGAGTTTTGTACTCTGGGTCAAAGCTCTTTTTGTCTGACTCTGTTTACAGCTCTGGATGACAGCCAGGCAGACAGAGATAACTTTCTTCCTTCACTTTAGGATAAGTGGTAATGGTTGAAATCCAGCAGCACGATGTCTGCTGTGTAAGGCTGACGATGTCATCAGCTGCAGTGTTTTGTGGTTTTTTTGAAAAATTCAACATTCCTGATTTCTCTCCTGAAGGTCCAGAGATTCCTTTGGGATCCTTGTTGGTGTAAGGAAGCCACTGGGGGGGGCATTGCATTGGTGGGGGGAGCTACCTCATTTTCAAATTAACAATTAAGGTTGAACTAGTTAGAATCCTACTATTTACACATGCCTGTGTAATACAGACAGCATAACTCTTGATAGTGAATTGCTACAAAGCAAGAAGTCAATTTAGGCCTGAAAATGTAA